CCCCCCAGACACAGGTGAATCCACATTCTCCTGCTTCCCCATCACCTACAGCCCCTGACCAGAGCGGGGGTCCTGTTTGGAGGGAGGGGGGAAAGGATAATAGCTCTACTGTTGCTGCTGGCAGGAGGGAGCCTCCCCCTGGAGGTGGCTGGGCCCCTGGGCAGTGCAGGGCAAGTGTGGGTTCAAGTCCTGTTCCTGGAAGGGGCCGAGGGTGGGGGGCAGGAGCAGCTCCCTGGGCCTTGGCATCTCCCCTTCCCCCTCCCTCTTCACCGCGGCAGGCGGTAATTACCGCCTGGAGCTGTGACTAATGGGATAATGGGCCCCTTGGCAGCGCCAGGCGGGTGACTTATTAGCAGAGATGAGGGGGGAAACCGCCCCATTCAACCCCCATCCCCACAGCCCCCCATGCATTAATGCCCCAGCTGGGCTGGCTGGTCCCGTGGCCCTTTCATCCACCCATCAATCTATCCTTCCCCAGACAGTCCGTCTCTCTCCTTTTATCCTTCATCCATCCATCCATCCCCACCCCCTCTATTCATGTATACCCTCCTACTCTCTGCTTTCTGTCTGCACGTCTCCCCTATCCATCCCTCGCTGCATCCCACCCCCCAGCTCTCTACCTTCTGCCAACCTATTGCTCGCACTCTCCTTTCCTTCACCCACCATCCATCCACCCATCCATCCAGCTGTCTGCATATTCTGTCTCTATCTATCTATCCTCATACACTTCCTCTCTCTATCCATTCTCAGATCAGCCCATTTCTCACTCTCATTTCTTTCATCCATCCTCCACCCCCATACACCATCTATTGGTCCCACTGTCTATCCACACATTCCTCCTCTGTCCATCCCACACCCCTTGAGTTCCCCATCTGCAGATAAACCATCTTGCTGTCTTCTTTCTTTCTTCATCCATCTGTCCGTCCATCCATCCATCCACACCATCTTGTCTAGCTCTGTCTGCACATGCCCACCACTCGATGCCATGATGTCCAGCCACAGTTCCCAACTGTCCAGCCATCTCCACACCCTCTATCTACCCAGCCATCCATCCTTCCCTTCCTATCCTAGGACTCCTCCATGAATGGATTGATCTCCGCCTCCCATTTTCAGATAGAAAACATGAGAAAGAGAAATGGGCTTTCTTCCCTCCCTCCATCCCTGTCTCCCCATCCACCCCCTGTATCCATCCATCCGGCTCTGGGGTGCATGCGCTGTCACTTCACACACCATCCCTCCATCTGCATGTTCTTCCTCCATTCATCTTGTACCTCCTCTCCCCCAGCTCTCCATCTATGCCCAGAGCCCATCACTTTCTCATTTCTTTCTTTCTCCACCCATCCATCCAGCTGCTGGAAACTCCCACCATCTCTCTATTGCAGTCTCTAGCCACAGTCCCCATCCATCCGGCCATCCTCACGCTATCTATCTATGCAGCTATCTATCCCCATATCCCTCCATCCATTCCCTCTTGCACAAGAAGGGTCCAAGAGAGGAGCTGAAGGCCTGGAGGCCCATTACCCTCCTGAATTTTGACTATAAACTGCTGGCCAAAGTCTTGGCCAAGTGATTTAAATCTGTCCTAGGTGCCATCATCAATGAGGACCAGTTGTGTGTAGAACCAGCATGACAGATCCACAGGGCCCTGCTGCAACTGAGAGATGTGTTCCAGCTGGAGCAAGACAGCGAACAGAAGATGGGGATGTTGAACCTGGACCTGGAAAAAGCCTACGACAGACTGTCACACCGGTTTCTTTTCGAGACCCTGCAGCGGATGGGCGTCCCTCTGACTTTCACCAGCCAGATAAGGACGCTGTACATGGACATAAGTAGCGAGGTGCTGGTAAATGGTTTCTTGAGTGAGCGGTCCACGATAGAGTCGGGGGTCCGCCAGGGCTGCCCACTCTCCCCAGTCTTCTTCATCTGCACCATCAAACCCCTGGCTCAGCACATCAGGCAGGACCCCGGGATGCACAGAGTCCAGATCCCCAGAGGAAGTAAGGAACAAGCCAAGGTCCTGGCCTGTATGAACAACTTGAACATCTTGTATAGGAATAAGCGTGCAGTAGAAAGAGTCCTGTGGCACAGACACATTTATGAAGTGTCAGCAGGGGCAAAGCTCAATGTGAGCAAAAGCACCTGCCTGACCCTGGGCGAGCTCGGGGACCTGGAGTCCCTGGGGGGGTCTCAGTTCCCCGCAAAGGGGTCAAGATCCTTGGGGTGGAATTTACCCAGAGCTGAGTGGAAGGAGGGCCTGGGAGAAGGAGGCCAAGGTGAAGCAAATGTTGAGTATGTGGCACAGGCGTCAATTCTCCATGGGTGGGTGCATGGCACTCATAAAGGCAGCGTTGCTTCTGTACACTGTACTGGTCTCCCCCCAGTGTATCATCCACAGAAGGCAGAGAGCCATTGAGCGTCGTCTTCTGGGGATCCTGAATGGAGAAGGTGGCAAGGAAGACCCTGTACAAAAAGAAACGGGATGGGGGCAGGGGGATGCCAGACATCCACCTTTGCCTGCGGGCATAGTACATGAGTCAGATTTGCAAGCTGGTGACCAGGGCAGAGGCCAAAACAGCCTGTCTAGTAAAGTTTTTTTTTGCAGGTCACCTCCTCAGATAGTGTGGGCTGTCCACACCAACCAATGGGAGACCGTGGAGCAGCCCTGGCTCTACAGGGTCCTGATTGAGTTCCAGAGCGAGTATGGGCTACAGAAGGAAAGCCCGGTGACTATGTCCGACCACAAAAAGATACAGAAGGCAGTCAGAGACAGAGATAGACTATCAACCATGGAGACCCTCCCCAATGAGGACTGCCAAGCCATCTGGAACCGGATTTTCCACAAGGACCTCCGCAAGGACCACGGAGACCTGAGTTGGTTGCTAGTGCACTGAGTACTCCCAGTGAGGGTGTGGAAGTACAGGGAGGGATGAGGGAGTCAACCCAATTGCCTCAGGGAAACCTGCCAAGAAGGAACAGAGACCGTTGACTACCTCCTATGGCACTGCCCATATGTCGAGGGTGTGTGGAGAAAGGTAAGCCGGCTCCTTGAAGGAGTGGCAGGAGTCGGGTTGATGACAAGGAAGGCAGTGCTGTACGGACACCTGATCGAGCAGAAGGGTCTCAGACAACGCGCTTCAACCAGCTTGTGTCCTGTGTCAGAAGTGCCCCGTGGCAATGCAGGAACCTCCTGTTGTACCGACACGCCACACTCGAGGAGCCAGACTGTGTTGGACTGTGTCTGAGTGAACTCTAGTCCTACCGCCGGAAGTCGGCGAGTGAGGACGGAGAAGACGCGGCCAACTCTACCTGGAAAAGCAATGCCTGGCACAGGTTGTTCAAAACCCCTGTGGGAGTGGAAATGGACAGGGAGAACAAAGGACAGAGATGCAACTGGACCTGGAGCCAGGGAGAAGGACTACAACAGGCTCAGCAGCAGCGGAAGTGACAGCGACCCCAACAAGGACAGTGAATGAACTGAGAATGTAAACCCTAACCGGGGCTTGGACTAAGGCACTGTGTTTGGGTTAGGGGAGGGTAGAGGGTGGGGGCGCAGGGGCATGGGTGCATTTATTGTAACGGGAACGCGGGCTTCTTAATGCAGTTTCAGATGTGTAATGGAAAGTTTATAATAGAGGATGCGTGTGTAAATAAATAAATCCATTCCCAGAGCAGCCCATCTCTCTCATACACATCTTTCATCCCTTCCTTCATCTCATTGTTCAGACACACCTTCCCATCAAGGAAGCACATCTTCACCCCGGAGCTTTCGGGTGTGTGATGGGCGGAGAGCGGGTCCTATTCAGATCCCGAGAGGAAGGGGGCACCGTATCCTCAGTCCGAGTGAAACCGGTGGGCGCAGTGGACCCGACCCTCGACCCAAAGTATACCCGCTGCCTGCGATATGTGCAGGAGACGGAAGACCAGTTTACTCCCCAAGCAGTGTTGTCTAGATTGAGGAGCCGCAAGCTCCCGTCCGATCTCCGTGAGAGTTCTATGACAACTCTAATGTGGGAAAATGCAAGATTGAAAGTCCAGCTGCTCGCAGCCGTTCAGGCGGCTAAAGATGCGGCTGTGAAAGAGGATCCTGAGACGCCATTTCAAGATGGCGCCGAGCAAGAAGAGAGCCATGCGGAGGAGCCGGAAAAGATGGGCGGAGCTTCAAAAGAACAAGCAAGAATCCGTCCAGTGGTCCCACCCACTGAAGTGACGTCGCTTCCGGCGGCCCCGCCTTCTTGCCATGGGGAGGGAGCATCGAGCGGAGGAGAGCATCCGCCCCTCCTACCAGAATCAGTGATGGCTCTAGCAGCAGTTCGCCCTGTGACGCCGACCTGCCAGACAACTGATCCATCGAGTGCAGCTTGTGCCACCACCTATCCTGCTCGTACTCGAACTGAGTTGCAGGAATTGTACGAGGAGTCAAAGATCAAACCTGAGGAGACCCTAGCCGTGTGGATGGGACGCCTAGTTGTGGAGTTTGGGTCCGATTTGTTGGACTTAGAAGAAGCAAGCTTTCTGATCCGGCGGGCCTCGTGGAGTAGAGGGCATGCCATCGACGTCAATACAGTGACGTTCAACACTCATTGGCCCATTTTGCTTCCGGCGCTTGCCTCAGGACA